TATATATATATATATATATATATATAGCGCCATGATTTTGCGCTACGCGAGCAGCAGGAGCTGATTCAGGATGGGGCCCAAGCGCCCGTCACACTCCGCTGCGTCGCTCGCCGTGTCGGAGCGCCCCATCGCCTTTGCGAGGATCACCACGTCCGCCAACAGCAGCTGCATCGCTACCGTCATGAGCGGTCGGTCGGTGGCCCGCGTGCAATAGAGGGGCAGCTTCACATCACCCGGCCCCGTGTACGGCGCCACCACTGTAGCAACAGGAAGGCCCGGCCGCGCCAGCACGCAGGAGCGCGCCCCGCAAAGCAGCAGCGGGTGGGGCAGCGTGCAGCCGTAGACGGTGGCGGCGGTGGAGACCAAACGCGCAGCGCATCCCAGCGCCAGGGACCAGTCGTGCAGCTCCCCCACTGTTACGCCTAGTCCCCTTCCTCGCACTGGCAAGCTGTGGCCGCAGATGGTGTCCGCCGCTCCCGCAGCACCAACGACTACAGGGAACAGCGCCCTAAGTTCGGTCATCCGCAGCTTCCGGGATTTTTCGAGCTGTACGCGCAGGGCGGCAAGTGACAGCTCCTGCTCAGCGGATTCGGCACGCGTCTCTTGCTGCTGCGCATCCCCATGGTGGATGCTCTCCTGCAGCACGCTCACCTGCGCCTGCTGCTCGGCCAACTTTTGCTGCTCCTCAATGTATCGATCACGCACTGCATCCAAGTCGTGCATCTGATGGTGCAAACGCTCCCGGACTTTTCTGAGTTGGGCCTCTAGAATTGCACGTTGCGCCGCCACTTCCGTCTCCCCGCGGCGCACCTCCACCACCCCATCTATAAGCGCCTGCTGCTCCTCCCGCCTGGCTGCCGCCAGGTCGCTGAGGTAGTGCCATGCCAAAGCGGCCGTCGCACATGTCTTGAGGTCACCCATTGTCATGTTTTCCACACCGGCGAGTGTACCCTTTCCCTGCAGCCCCTTAGTGTCCAGGTGGGCGTCGGGCTGCAGAGATCCAGAAGGCAGCACAACAACAGGAGCAGCACTGATAGTGCTATTATTGGCACTCGTATTAGTAGCAGCAGCCGGTACGGCAGAGACGCTTTTGTGCAGGAAATGCTTGCCAGCAGAGTCAATCACCACCCCACCTTCGTTTACCTGCACGCCTTGGTGCATTGGGAAGAACACACCGTCAGCGCAGCGCAGCAGCACGACAAAAGAGTTGGCACCGCTGTCAGCGTGGCACGGCAGGCTTGGCAGAGCGTCGGCCTTCGTCATGGAAGAAGCCAAGTACTGCACGTTTGAGGTCTGCATGAGCATCTCATACAGCAGGAAGTCCGTCTCCGGCGCTGGCAACGCCTCCTCCGGGTGTGTGGTGCAGTAGTAGAGCGAGAATACGAACTGCGTCAGGCTCGCGAAGCGCTGCGTCACGGCAGGGGGGATGTGGCTCCACACCGGGTGCTGGGTGTCGCGCCGCACTTCACTGGCGTATATTCGNCCGGGCGTGTGGCTCAGCACAAAGTACGACGACACGCAACGCTGCAGCACTGGCGTGCGGCTTCCACGCCGAGAGGCAGGCGGTGTTGGCTTCTGGCCCTGCTCTTGCAGCGGCAGCACGGGCAGCGGGCCGCCGCCGTCGTCGACATCATCATCGGCGTCGGCCGCGCGGAGCGGCAAGTTGCGGGCGTACACGTGCGTGATGTGGCGGAAGCAGCGGAATTCGGCCGGCAGCACCGCCGCGGCCATCCCTCACACCCAACGGACGGAGGGACTCGAAGGTGCAGGCAATGAGAAGAAGAAACACGAAAACAGAGGAAGCGGCAGAGAGGGAAGCAGAGAGACTGACGCCAGAGTAGCACAGAAGAAAAGAGACGCAGCAGCAGCGATGGCGCGGAGATGTGGGACAGAACAAAGGGTAATTCTGTCGCTTCGAATTACGACTCTGCCATTGCATAGAGTCACTTCTCTTTTTTTTTCTTTTTCTTCCTTCTCACTAACCCTCTTTTTCTTTTCTTCTTCACCCTTCACCTCTTGTTAGCCGGCCGCATTTACTCGTTGTCTCCCATCCCCCTCCTGCTGCTTGCTGTCGCCAGTCGCATTGGGTGTCACGCGCGCAAACCCCTCGCAGATGCGGGAGCACATGACGTGCGCCGTTGTGGGGTACGCGCTGAGACACACCGGCTGCGTCACGTAATCCACGCCGTCGAGGTTTGCGTCATCGGTGCAGGAGATGCAGAAGAATGCGGCGACATTCTTCACGCCGCCCTGCAACGAGTCGTCTACCGGCTGCGCGGCTGCCTGCTGCGCGAGCTGCGTGGCGGTGCGCACGGGGGCGGTGGC